TGATAAAAGTATTACAGATGAAATTGAAATATCCTTCCCAGTTTTAATCCCATTCTCTGCCTCTCACCCTGCCCAATTTGGGCAGCTGCTGTCATAAGTTGTTGTATATCTTTCTATCCCATTTTTTACGACTTACATATAAATAAATGCAACTCCATGAGCACCATATTGTCTTATAAATTTTTAATCATAATTATCACTCTGCACTTGCTCTTTCACTCAACTTGTTTATTTATCCATGTAAATATATATAAGTCTAATTTGGGGTTGGCAGACTTTTTCTGTAAAAGATCAGGCAGTAAATATTTTAGGTTTTGTGAGCCAGCCTGTCTCTGTTACAGCTACTCAACCCTGCTATTTTATAGCTAATGCAGCCGTACATAATACGTAAACAAGGGGGTATGGCTGTGTTCCAATAAAATTTTATTTACAAAAAAACAGGTTGTGGGCTAGATTTGGCCCATGGGCTATAGTTGGCTGACCCCTGCTCTAATGGATTCCTTTTACCTACTGAATAGTATGGTGTCTATATGATTACACCATATGTTATATTTTCAGTTCCCCTGAAAATAGATGTTCAGGTTGTTTCCCATTTTTCTGTTTTAACATGCTGCAGGAAGCATCCCTGTCCATGTCTCCTTGTGTACATGTGCAAAGGTTTTTCGCTAGGACATACACATACATAGAAGTGAAATTGCTGAGGCTTTTTTTTTTTTTTTTAACAAATTACATGGTCCAAATAAAATGCTTCAGGTAGAATGTCACCAGTTTGTGACCTCTGTCCTAGAATCTTTATAGGAAGCCCATAGTGAGAATCCAATCCACACCTAGTTCTAGAATTTGAGGTAAGACTCCGTGACAGCTAGCAAAGGTGAGGGTGCATTAATCCAGATAGAAGAGCTGGAGAAGGATCTGGAGGAGTGTCATTGCCATGAGAAATGTGTAACTGACTTCCTCAGTGGACAAAAGAAGTGAAGTTGGGGGAGAAACTCAGTTTTTCATGTGTAGTGGCCGTTCAAACTGTGGTTGTTAATGTTAGAATGACAAGTTCTAACAGAAAAGGTATTCAGGATGAAGGTGACGAGCTGCTGACCTGTGGTTGCTTCTTTCCTGGCAATGCTGTGAGTTCCTTTAAAGATTTATCACTGTAATTAGACCGGCTAGAAGGAGAGTAAGGAAGGTAATAAAGAAAGAGTGTCAGGGCATCCTTCCAAGAAAACCCTCTCCTTTGAGGAGGACCCAGAGCAAGTTTTTAAGCCCTGGTGGCAGGAAATTAAATTAGCCCATCTTCCTGAAGTACTACGTCAATAATAGATGACTAGTTCAGTCGAGCTCAGTGGGTTCTGAAAAGAAATGGTGTTCTGTGTTCTGAGTTGAGATTTAATTAAGGGGACGCAGGCTTTGGGAATTCCTTCTTTTTAAAACATTTTAAACATGATTGTAGGTCATTATCATTCCTTTGTTTTTATTGTTTTGGAGCGCTCAAAAAATAGACGGTGCTCTAACACAAGCAGCTGAACATCAAGGTCACCCTGCTGCAGGCTTTAAAAAAAAAAAAAAAAAAAGCTTGGGGCCACATTGTTTTGATAGGTAAAAGCTGGACGGCTCTGCCTCTTCAGGGATATGCAATGCAGAACAATTGGTCTCTCCACTGACACATTCTCCACTTAACCCCCCACGTTGTTGTTGTTGTTTTTAAGTTTTATTTAAGTAATCACCCAACGTGGGGCTCGAACTCATGACCCTGAGATCAAGAGCGTAGCAGGCTTCACTGGCTGAGCCAGCCAGGCGCCTCCCCACCCCCACCCCTTACGTTTCTTACTCGAGTCTAGGACCTTGTGTAAACCATCCCATGAGCTGCAGCAGAGGCCTCCCCACAGGAGGCTCAGGGGGCGGGGGTTTGAGCTTGGCACCTGACAGCTTTTGCAGGTCTCTACCGACATGGAGGTAGAGACACTCACGGGTAACGCTGCAGTGGTAGCTTGGGGGCCATTGCCTTGGAAGAGAAAGGGAGACGTGGTAAGCAGACTGGCCATTCTAACATCTAGTTCTTTCTTCTCATTAGGCAAAACTGTAGTAGCATATAGAAGGTGGGGAATGAGGGAGGGACTGTCTTTTACATGGTTTTCCTTAAATGGCTTGAGCTTCACTTTTTTTTTTGTTTTTAAGATTTTATTTATTTATTTGAGAGAGAGAGAGAGAGTGAACGAGCACAACAAGTAGGGGGAGCAGTAGAGGGAGAGGCAGAAGCAGGCTGAGCAGAGAGCCTGATGCGAGCCTCGATCCCAGGACCCTGGGATCATGACCTGAGTTGAAGGCAGAAGCTTCACCGACTGAGCCACCCAGGTACCCCTTGAGCTTCACTACTAATTGAACATTGATTAGTTTAATCTGATTTTTTTTTTTAGGGTGATGACTACAAACTGAACAAGAGAATAAAAGTTAGGGCTCACCAGTAATCTCTGGAATGACCCTTTGACGAGGGTTTGTTGTTGTTTTTTTTTTTTTAATGCATTATTTGTTCTTAGTATTTATTTATTTATTTATTTTTTAAAGATTTTATTTATTTGACAGAGTGAGACACAGCGAGAGAGGGAACACAAGCAGGGGGAGTGGGAGAGGGAGAAGCAGGCTTCCCGCGGAGCAGGGAGCCCGATGCGGGGCTCGATCCCAGGACCCTGTGATCACGACCCAAGCCGAAGGCAGATGCTTAAAGACTGAGCCACCCAGGTGCCCCTTGACGAGGGTTTTGGATGAATCTGTATCAGTTTATTTTAATCCAGCTTTATGTTAGTTCTTAACGTACTTCCACCTTTGTAAGTACCCCTTAGTCTCACAATCATCCATAAAGAAGGAGAATTCTCCCTGTTTTACCAATTTTATAGAAAATGGGTTAGAGGTCTTCTAGCTCTTCATTCTAGACATTGTTTTATTACATGTAACGACTAGAAAGTATAAAAAATAACTTTTCATGTTTCCATGTACTTAACAGCAGCAGAATTTTTTATAAAAGCTTAATGGGAGAACATATTGACTCTGTATTTATTAACGTCCAGTACATAAGCCATAGACTGGCCCGTCACTGCCTCACATTCTCCCACTTCTTTGTTGGCAGGGAATAGGTCACCCTCACAACTAAAAAGAAATTGTTAGCACTGTCCTAAGTGTCTATTAAAATTATAAATGCATATATCCTGTGCGCCAGCAGTACGTTTTTAGAAATTTATCTTACAGATACACTTTCCCACGCGTGAAAGGATGTGGGCCTAGTTTTTTCACAGTAAAATATCAGAAACAGCTTAAGTGCTAGGATTGTGGTTAAATAAATTATGACGCTTCCATGCAGTGGGATATTTTGCTGCTGTCATAAAGAATAAGGCAGCTGTATATTTATTGAGGGAACAAATGCCAAGATATGTGGTTTAGTGAGGAAAAGCAAGGTGCAGGACACTGTATTATTACTGTGTATAACATTCTACGCTTGTGTTAAAAAAGAGGGGGTAAGTATGTATTATTACATATTTGCTTGCGATGCATAAACTAGCTCAGGAAGATTAAAAATCTAATAATACTTGCCTTGTGGGGGGGGACCTGGGCAGCTGGAGAACATGTGAGGGAGAGGGACCTGTCACTGAAGAGGTCACTGAATCAAGAAGCAGGAGAATCACCTACTTAAAAGAAAAGCCAAAACCACCCCACACGGAGGTTTTTAGGAATTTGGGGTCCTCATATGTACTTCTTCACTCTGATCTGCTTGCTTGCTACCCCTTCCCAAAGAACCCATTTAATCATCCTTTCTTCTGCTCCCTGAGTTTTCTGGCACCAAATGAAGTTCTCTTTTTTGTTTTTACTGAAAAAAAATTTTTTTTAAAGATTTATTTGTTTATTTTAGAGGTGGGAAGGGGCAGAGGGAGAGGAGAGAGAGTCTCAAGCAGACTCCGTGCTGAGCATGGAGCTCCACGCGAGGCTTGATCTCACGACCCTGAGACCACAACCTGAACTGAAACCAAGAGTCAGACACTTAACCTACTGTACCACCCAGGCGTTCCTACTTAAAAAAAATATTTTAACACCTATTTTTTTATTTGCATTCAAATTGTATTCCATTTGTTGGTTGAATAAGTGCTTTCTATGTAACGTATTACACCACATCATTTATTTGCATACATTTTGCATAAGCCATAGTTTATGATTTTAGAATGGAAGAGTATTATTGGCACAAGATAGGAAATTCAAACAGTACAAACGAGCATGAAGTGAAGTTTTTTCTCTCTCTCTTGACCTGAGAGTCCTCTGGGCCCACAGTTCCCCTGCTGAGGCTGCCACTGTTACCACTTTGATATGCATACTTGTAAGAATATTGTTTTGCATATCAAACATAAACATGAGTGCATTGACCCACCTGCTTACACACCGTGTTCACTGTACTCATCTACTTTTTTCACTTAGCACTGCGTCTTAGTACGCGCTTACATTTAGATTAGCACGCTCTTTTCAGTAACTGCCCAGGATTCTGCTGTATATGTGTTATTACATATATACTTGATTTATTCAATCAGCCTCCTCAGTCTGTTGCTACCACAAATGATGCCACAACGAATATCCTTGTATCTGTGGGGTAAGTTCTTAGAAATAACAACTGCTACGTCAAAAGGTATTGATAGATAGTTTCAAATTGCTCTCTGCAGAGGTTTTAGTAGTGCAACAGGACAGAAGATTATCCGGGCTTTTTAAAGGTTTCTAGCTGCCGCAACCTGGAGTATAAGATAGAGTATCAGTTAAAGGGAAGACAGGTCTGTCCACACTACCGGGGACTAAAGGCTGTACTGTCCCCACTGAAGCTCGTTAAGACCCTGTGAAGAGGTACAGCGTGCACTACAGGGATTTAATGTAGCCATCAGAAGGTCGGACAGACGAAGGTGACATGGGTGTGTCGGGTGCTGTTGAGCAGCCTTCAGTGACAACTGTGCTGTCCTTACTTACTTTTGCTTTTTTTCTAGGACCTTAGCATCCTGAGACATTTTGGATTCACAGCGCTCAAGGTTGACCCGGTCAGAGTTCATCATGTCAAAGTTAAAAAGCTCGGAGTCAGTCAGGGTGGTGGTTCGCTGTCGGCCCATGAATGGCAAGGAAAAGGCTGCTTCGTATGATAAGGTGGTGGATGTGGACGTGAAGCTGGGGCAGGTGTCAGTGAAGAACCCCAAAGGAGTGGCCAATGAAATGCCCAAGACCTTCACCTTTGATGCAGTCTATGACTGGAATGCCAAGCAGTTTGAACTCTACGATGAGACATTCCGACCGCTCGTGGACTCCGTCTTGCAGGGTTTCAATGGGACGATTTTTGCCTATGGACAAACCGGGACTGGGAAAACCTACACGATGGAAGGAGTCCGTGGTGATCCTGAAAAAAGAGGGGTCATCCCTAACTCATTTGACCACATCTTCACCCATATCTCTCGGTCCCAGAATCAACAGTACCTGGTCAGGGCTTCTTACTTGGAGATCTACCAGGAGGAGATCCGAGATCTGCTCTCAAAGGATCAGACCAAAAGGCTAGAGCTCAAAGAGAGGCCTGACACTGGTGTGTACGTGAAAGACCTGTCTTCCTTTGTTACCAAGAGCGTGAAGGAAATAGAGCACGTGATGAACGTGGGGAACCAGAACCGCTCTGTCGGTGCTACCAACATGAACGAGCACAGTTCGCGCTCTCATGCGATTTTTGTAATCACCATTGAGTGCAGTGAGGTGGGCCTTGATGGAGAAAACCATATCCGTGTAGGGAAATTGAACCTGGTGGATCTTGCTGGCAGCGAACGGCAAGCCAAGACTGGTGCACAAGGAGAAAGACTGAAGGAGGCCACCAAGATCAACCTGTCCCTTTCAGCCTTAGGTAACGTCATCTCTGCCCTGGTGGACGGCAAAAGCACTCACATTCCATATCGGGACTCAAAGCTGACCAGGCTCCTCCAAGATTCTCTGGGTGGCAATGCTAAAACTGTGATGGTAGCCAACGTGGGCCCTGCCTCGTACAATGTAGAAGAGACTCTGACCACTCTGAGATATGCCAACCGTGCCAAAAACATTAAGAACAAGCCAAGGGTCAATGAGGACCCTAAAGATGCCCTCCTTCGAGAATTCCAGGAAGAGATTGCCCGGCTCAAGGCCCAGCTGGAAAAACGATCCATTGGCAGGAGGAAGAGGCGAGAGAAGCGGAGGGAAGGTGGCGGCAGTGGTGGGGGCGGGGAGGAGGAGGAGGAGGAGGGAGAAGAGGGTGAGGAGGAAGGGGATGATAAGGATGATTACTGGCGGGAACAGCAAGAAAAACTGGAGATTGAGAAGCGGGCCATTGTAGAGGACCACAGCTTGGTTGCAGAGGAGAAGATGAGGTTGCTGAAGGAGAAGGAGAAGAAGATGGAGGACCTGCGGCGGGAGAAGGACGCTGCTGAGATGCTAGGCGCCAAAATCAAGGTACCACGGCCTTCCTCGGGCCTTTGTTCTCTTAGTGCTTTCCATTTTATCCAAAAAATGACAATGACGGATGATGTCCCTTTCAGTTTTACATTCCCATCAGCCCCGTGGGATCCAGTGTCCAGGAAACATTTGTTGAACTGAAATTAAAACCATTTCTTCAAGTTTATATTGAACTCCTAGGAAGAATAATTATTACATATGTGCACGGTATGAAAAGCAGCAATAAAATGGACACCCACGGGCCCCACGGCCAGTGTGAGAAATAGAACGTAATCCATATCTTTACAAGCTTTGTGTCCCCCTCCCCCAGAGCTAGCCCTTGTTTTGAATTTGGTGTTTATTGTTTCCTGACTTTGCTTTACAGTTTTCTCATATACGTATATACCTCTAAAAAAAAAGATAGTTCCACATAATTTTGTACCTTTGTATAAATGGAATCCCACTGCTGCAGTTTGCTTTTACTTGCCCAGCCTTATGTAATGAGATTTGTCTAGGTTGATGCTTGCAGCTGTGATTCATTCTTTATTACTGCTCTGAGAAGTGAGTGGCATTCCATTCTCCGGATAGTGGGTTGTTTCCATTTTTTGCTACATACGTTTTTGTACTTGGCTCCAGGAGAACATGGATGAGCAAGAATTTCTTACCTGGCGCCATCAGGTCCTCGGGTACGTGCAGCCCCAATTTTACTAGATAATCACAAGTTGTTTTCGGAGGTGGCCATATGAAGTGAAGCTTCTACCAGCACATATGAACTCTGGTTGCTCCTCGTTCTTACCAGCACTTAGGACTATCCGCTTTAATTTTCATATGCCTGATGTGTATAAAGTGGTATCTCATTGTGGGTTTTGTTTGTTTGTTTGTCTGTTTGTTTTTAAGTAGGCTCCATGCCTAGCGTGGAGCCCAACTCCGGGCTTGAACTCATGACCCTGAGATCAAGACCTGCGCTGAGATCAAGAGTCGGACGCTTAACCGACTGAGCCACCCAGGCGCCCCTCATTGTGGTTTTAATATGCAGTGCCCCAACCATACAAGATACAGAACAGTTCCATTGCCCACAAATACTCCCTTGTAGTCAGCCTCCTCCCTCAGCCTCCAACCCCTGTGAGTCAGTGGCTGACTAGCATTCTAGAGCGTGGAGACTCCTGTGTATTTTCTTTCTGGTGCCAGTGTACTATTCCATCAGGTGTCTGGACTCTGGGCTGCCACACACAAGCCCTCCCTCTTGTGTGTGGCAGAGGAGAGGACAGAGCTAGTCCTGGCAATCTGGGGATGACCGCTGCCTGCCCACCAGCCAGAACGGCTCTGAGGTGTTGGGTTCTTTCTTAGTGAATTTATGAAAACTGATTTCGACGCTCAAACGTATCCTTGTTTATTAATTTAGAAATGACCAGTGATCTCTTTCTCGCCTCCACTTTCCCCACTGTATGAAGCTGTGCTTTATCCGTGGCTTCATGGCAGCCCTTTCACAGAGCTGGGTTCTATTTTACTTCAGAGGCAGGGGTCCGTTCCAGAGCTTTCAAGACCTGATGTGCAAATGGAGTCCTATACAACACAGTTAGGAGGTCACTTTGTTTCAGGGAGGAGCTTACTCTGGGATTCCTGAACGTCAGACGCCACTTCACCCCTCCACATTCCTGCACTTAAAGTGTAACAGAGTGTGCCCCTGTTTGATGGGCATGCTGGTTTTTAGGATCACATCTATTATTCAAGCCCAGGAACACCTAGACTCTCTAAACAACCTGGGTTATTTGGGCAACTCTCAGAGGTCAGGTGTGGCAAGACTCAATATTACCTCAAGGTCACTGAATCTCTTAGATGTTTTGTTTATGGGAGAATGATATTACTTCTGTCTCTCGAAATCTCTGGATGCTGTAAAATCATAGGACAAAAATATTTTACAACTGGAAAGAGTGTGTGTGGGGGGGTGGGGTGGGGGCTGGTTAGTAATCCAGTCCAACCACTTCATTTTGAGAGAAGAGGAAATGGGCCCAAGGGCTCACTGAAAGATGGCAACAGGGCTACTATTCATGTTCATAAGTTTCTCAAAAGCAAGGTCGTGGAGTTTTTGGATTCTGTGCTTTTCAGGTGCAAATCATTCCCATGGCTTTAGCCACCATCTAAATGCTCAAGGTGTCCCATCTATTATAGCCAGCCCAGAGCCGTCTCCTAACATTCAAGCCTGATAGTCTCTGCCTACTGGACATTTCCAGAGATGGCCATGGCCACCCAGAACGTGTTCCTGCCTTCCTTTTCTTTTCTTTCTTTCTTTCTTTTCCTGCCTTCCTCTTTGCAGTCAAGCCAGACCCCTAGGAGTTATCCCTGCTAGCTATGCCTCCCTCTCACTTACCGCCCAGTCAGTCCCAAGGCCTCTGAATCCTGCGCCATCGGACTGGATCTCTTGGACCCATCCACTTTGCTGTCTCCTGCCATTACTGCCCTAGCGCAGGCCTGAATCCTCAAAACAGCCTCTTGGCTGGTCTCCTTCTGCCTGGCCTTCCCTTTTCCAGTCATCCTTCCTATGGTGGGTGAAGAATGTTTCTAAAACACAAATCTGACTGTGTACCCTTATGCTCAAAGAACAGTCAGTACGATTCCTGCAGTTCTCAGATCAACTTTAGTTTCCCCTTAACAGGGCTTTGATGTTTTTGAACTGACCCCTGATTGCTTTGCCAGCTTCATGTAGCACCACTTCCTATCCTACCCTCTCACACACAGTGTTTTTTTCTTTTAAGATTTTATTTATTTATTTGAGAGAGAGGAAGGGCTTGTGTGAGCAGGGGGAGGGTCAGAGGGAGAAGGAGAGAGAGAATCTCAAGTAGACTGCACACTCAGCGCTGAGCCTGATGTGGGGCTCAATCTCACGACCCTGAGATCATGACCTGAGCCGACATCATGAGTTGAATGCTTACCCGACTGAGCCACCCAGGCACCGCTGCATTTTTTTTTTCTTAGCTAATTCCTATTTTTACTTCAGCACTCTTGAGACAGGAAGCTTTCCTTGATTCCCTCCAAAAGCCTGAATCCTCTCCCCTCCCGTATGCCTCTCCCATTATTTCTCTGTCTTTTCCTTATGATGGTGTCTGACTCTGTAGCATAAGAGCCTGCTTATTTGTCTGTGGTCCACAGTGGAGTCTTCAGCTGTGTGATTCATATTCAGTTGCATTCCTAGTACCTAGCACATGGGAGGTACTCAGTATGTTTTAAGTAAGGTCAATACTTTGTACATACAAACAAAAAAACAAATTTTTTTTTTTAAGAAAGCTGAAATTCCTATATGGCTGGGGAAGCTGTGTCTTCAGTGTTTCTAAGGTAAAGCCCCAGTGGAGCCACCTCAGTCCCACCCTGGTGATGGTAAGGACGCTGCTGTGCACAATCTGTTTTCCCCCAGAGTTCACTCCTTTGGCTCAGTCCTAAGCTCATTATGTTTTACAGGCTGCCCTATGAGGAGGTATGTTCTGAGGGAGATCATTCACAAGATGGATTCTACTTTTTTCTCACTCAGGCCATGGAGAGTAAGCTGCTTGTTGGAGGAAAAAATATAGTAGATCATACAAATGAACAACAGAAAATCCTGGAGCAGAAACGGCAGGAAATCGCAGAGCAGGTAACTTTTCATTCCCTTTTGAGGAGAAGAGGGTGGGATAAGGTGCACCAGTGCCACAGAGCAAATATCTCTTGTATTAGATTCTTCAGAGGGAATGAAAACAAGGTGTTCAGCCCCTTCCTAGTGGGAGACTTTGGTCTGGAGCACCCAGCTCTGTATTCTTGTACAGACATTGTCTCTGATGAACTGTGTGATGAATTATGTGATGAATTATGTGATGTTGCTCAGAAACGTCGAGAAAGAGAAATCCAGCAACAGATGGAAAGCAGAGATGAGGAGACCTTGGAACTTAAAGAGACGTACAGCTCATTGCAGCAAGAGGTGGACATCAAGACCAAAAAACTCAAGAAGGTATAAAGGAATGAGGCCAGACAGAGGTGTCTTGAGACTTGGGGGAAGGGAAGAACTCTGTTGTTTGGAGGGCTCCCCTCCTCACCTGCCTTTCCCCTCGGTTCCAGCTCTTCTCCAAGCTTCAGGCGGTGAAGGCAGAGATCCATGACCTCCAAGAAGAGCACATCAAGGAGCGTCAGGAGCTGGAACAGACTCAGAACGAGCTCACAAGGGAGCTGAAACTGAAGTAAGTTCTGGACCTTTCATGGCACCCCCAGCCACTTGCCAGGTGGTGGTTTGTTGAGTAAGAAACAGGTCTCTAAAGACAGGCCCCTGCCTACTCCCCACCTTGTCTGTTTTTTGTTTATTCTTGAGAAAGTCACTTTCTGTCTCTGGGTCCCATCTGTTAGGTGAATGACTTCACCAGATGATCTCCAAATTTCCTTCCACCCTACTTGCTTGAAGTTTTTAAAGGCTCCAGCCTCTATTGATAAGAGAGAATCTATTATTAACTAGAATTTTCTGAAAGGTATAATGAACATCCAAATGCCCACCACCCAGATTCATTGATAAACAACCTTTTGTCATTTATCTTTCATAGAAATATTCTAAAATCTCATGTAATGTTTTTTTTTAAAGATTTTATTTATTTATTTGACACAGAGATAGAGAGCATAAGTAGGCAGAGTGGCAGGCAGAGGGAGAGGGACAAGCAGACTCCCCGCTGAGCAGGGAACCCGATGCAGGGCTCGATCCCAGGACCCTGGGATCACAACCTGAGCCGAAGGCAGACGTTTAACTGACTGAGCCACCCAGGCACCCCTAAAATCTCATGTAATGTTAACCTCATGTTATCTCATTCCTGCATACTCACATACATGATCCTAATGCTGTTTTAAAACATGCTTTACTGAGACATAATTTACATACCATACAATTCACCTATTTATTTTTACTTATTTATTTATTTATTTATTTTTTAAAAGATTTTATTCATCCATTTCAGACAGAGTCAGCGAGAGAGGGAACACAAGCAGGGGGAGTGGGAGAGGGAGAAGCAGGCTTCCCACCGAGCAGGGAGCCCGATGCGGGGCTCGATCCCAGGACTCTGGGATCATGACCTGAGCCGAAGGCAGACGCTTAACGACTGAGCCACCCAGGTGCCCCACAATTCACCTATATAAATTAGTATACAAGTCTGTGGGCACCTGGGTGGCTCAGTTGGTTAAGCATCCAACTCTTGCTTTCAGCTCAGGTTGTAATCTCAGGGTTGTAAGCCCGAGCCCTGTGTCAGGCTCCCCACTGGGCATGGAGCCTGCTTAAGATTCTTTCTCCCTCTGCCTCTCCCCGCCCCCTAAATAAATAAATAAATGAATGAATAAAGTATACAAGTCAGTTTTAAAAATATGTACTTACAGGGTTATAAAACCATCACCACAATCTGATTTTTTTAAATTATTTTTAATTTTTTTATTTTTTAAAGATTTTATTAATTTGACAGAGAGAGAGAGAGCACAAGAGCACAAGCAGGGGGCGTGGCAGGCAGAGGGAAGGAGAAGCAGACTACCTGCTGAGCAAGGAGCTCGATGCGGGACTTGATCTCAGGACCCTGGAATCATGACCTGAGCTGAAGGCAGATGCTTAATGAGGTTTAACTGACTGAGACACCCAGGCGCTGCTACTGCCATCTGATTTTAGAACATTTTTTTGTGTCTCCCTGTCCACCCCCGCAAGGAAACCCTGTACTAGTTAGCAGTCATTCCTTATTACCCGCCACCCTTCAGCCCTAAGTACCTACTAACCTACTTTCTGTCTCTGTAAATTTGTCTGTTCTGGACATTTCATATAAATGGAATCTTACGATATGTGGCCCTCTGTGACTGGTTTCTTTCACTTAACATGATGCTTCCAAGGATCGTCCATGTTGTAACATGTCAGGACTTCATTCTTTTTTACGGCTGAATGATACTGGATTTTATGGATATACCACACATTTTATTCATTTATCAGTTGATGGACATTTGGGTTGTTTCCAGTCCTTGGCTATTATGGATAATGCTGCTATGAACGTTCATGTACAAGTTTTTAGATGAATGTGTTTTCATTTCTCCGGGATATATACCTAGGAGTGGAATTGCTTAGGTCATATGGTAACTCTGTGTTTGACTTTTGGAGGAATTGCCAAACTGTTTTCCAGAATGGCTGTATCATTTTACATTTCCACCACCAATTTTTCCACATCCTGTTGACACTTGTAACTGTCTGTCCTTTTTATTATAGCCATCCTAATGGGTGTGAAGTAGTATCTCATTGTGGTTTTGATTTGCATTTCTCTAATGACTAATGATAGAATGTCTTTTTATGTGCTCTGACCATTTGCATATCTTCTTTGGAGAAATGTCTGTTCAAATCCTCTGCCCATTTTAAAATTGGGTAGTTTATTGGGTCTTTTTATTATTGTGTTGTAAGAGTTCTTTCTGTATTCTAGAGACAAGTCTCTTATCAGATATGTGATTTGCAGATATCTTCTCGCATTCTAAGGATTGTCTTTTCACTTTCTTTATGGCATTTTGTTTGCAGCACAAAGGATTTTAATTCTGATATAGTCCAATTTATCTATATTTTCTTTTGTTTAAACTTTTGGTATTGTATCTAAATTTTCCTATTCTGGATATTACATATCAGTTTATAATGGAATAATGTGGCCATTGGTGGCTGGCTTCTTTCACTTAGTATAGTGTTTTCAAGGGTAATACATGCAGCACATATCAATAATTCATTCTTTTTTTATGGTTGAATAATATTGTATCATATGACTATACCGCATTTTATGTATCCATTCATCAGTTGATAGACCTTTGGGTTGTTTCTATTTTTTAGCTAATCTGAACAATACTGTTGTGAACATTTGTGTACAAGTTTTATTGTGGACTTATGTTTTCAATTCCCTTAGGTCATCTTAGAGTCTTAAAGTTTGAGGTCTTACATTTAGATCTATGATTCATTTTGAGTAAATTTTTATATATGGTCTGTGGTAGGGTTCCAAGTGCATTCTTTTGCATGTGGATATCCAGTTGTCGCAGCACCATTTGTTAAAAGGGTCTTCTCTCGTTGTCTTTGCGCCCTTGTTGATCATAAATGGAAGGGTTTATTTCTGAACTCTCAATATTGTTCCATTGATCTATTTGCTTGTCTTTATGCCAATACCACACTGTCTTAACTACTATAGCTGTGTAGTAAGTCTTGAAATGAGGAAGTATGAGTCCTCCAACTTTGTTGTTCTTTTTCAAGACTGTTTTTGGCTATTTGGAGTTTCTTACATTTCTGTATACATTTTAAGATCATCTTGTCAATTTCTGTGAAAAAGCCAGCTGGGATTTTGATAGGGATTGTGTTGACTTTATAGATCCATTTGGAGAGTACTGTCATCTTAACAGTTAAGTGTTTTGATCCATGAACATGGGATGTCTTTTTATTTATTTAGATCTTTAATTTCTGTCAAGAATGTTTTGTGGTTTTTCAATAGACAAGTCTTTGCACTTCTTTTGTTAAATGTATACCTAAGTTGTTTGGGGTTTTTTTTGCTATTGTATATGGAATTGTTTTCCTTAATTTTATTTTCAGAATGTTTATTGCTAGTGTGTAGAATTACAGTTGATTTTTGTATACACAATGATATCTTTCGACCTAACAAAACTAATGTTGTCCCTTAGTATTATCTCAGGCCTTACCCATATTCAGATTTTATGGGTTTGCTCATATTAATATCCAGATAAAGACCACATATTGCATTTGCTTATTATTTCTCTTCAGCTTATTTTAATATGGAGCAATCCCTTTTCCTTTTAAAAACTTTTTTTGCAGTTGACTTACTGAAAAGCCAGGACAGCCTGTAGAAATATCTCACAGTCTGGATTTTAACTGAAAGCTAGTTCTGAAGCACTAGTTCTCAACCTTGGCTGCACACGGAAATCATATAAGGAGTTTTAAAAAGGCCCCACCCTGAAGATTTTGACTTATTGGTCCTTCAGCTTTAGCAGGCACCAAATCATCTGAAGGGCATATTAAGTACAGATTGCTGGTTCTCATACCAGAGAGTCTGATTCAGTTCATCTGGGATGGAGCCTGAGAATTTAACATTTCTAACAAATTCTAGTTGTTGCTCCTGCTGGTTCTGTGAACACATGGTCTCTCATGAGGTCTGGGCAAGATATTTTTCAGAACTCTGTAAGTAATATTAACGTGTAGCCTGGCTTAAGAATGACTGAGTTAATGGTTTCAACCAACAATAATTTGTCTGAAATTATTATTTCATTAGGGGTTGCAAAATACTGTTTTTCTCTTTCAGTCCTTCTACAACATTCACTGAGATTTTTCTTTTCTTTTCTTTTCTTTTTTTAAGTAATTTCTACACCCAGTGTGAGGCTTGCACTCACAACCCTGAGATCAAGAGTCTCATGCTCTACAGATTGAGCCAGCCAGGCACCCCTAGCTGGAATTTTTCTTTAAAGAGCTCTTCGGAGGGATTCTTTTAATGACCAAGTTTTAAATTTGGAAGGAGCCCTTATAATTAAATGTGTCCTCTTTCTAGGTATGTACACCTAGAAAAAAAAATCAAAACAAAATGTGTCGAAATATTAATAATAGCTATCTCTGGATAGTGAAATTATATGTAGTTGTATTTTTCACATTTCCTACTGTAAATAGGACTTTTAAAATCAGAAAAAAACAAATATATGTCATAAAAATAATTTCTTAAATGTTTCAAACAAAATAAGTAGAAAGTTTCATCTCTCTGAAATATTTTTTCCCTAGGGAAGCCATTTTCATTGTTATATCTCTTATTTATATCTTTTGAATGAACAGTGAGTCAGCCTCTTTCTCACGGTCAGTACCCTACACGTCTGTGGTATTTGTTGTGTGTCTTTCCCACGTTAACACCCCGTTGACATTGTTCTGTCCTGAGGTTTTGAAAGCGTGAATGCAGAGATGTGGCAGGGGACAGTCGTCACCATGGAGAGACACAATCCAGTGGGTTCCAGTTTCATTGTTCGCCATGTTCCCCAGCACTTCTCAGACTGAGACTCTTCTCAGGAATGGTCTTTATTCTCAGTGCTCTAAGGGACTGAAATCCACTCAGTCTTGCTCTTTGTCCTGGTGATTAGAGTGGGAAGTTTTCTAGCTTGGGCATCGATCCATGGGAAGAAGACCGTTTACCTTCTAATCTGTTTTCAGCATTTTGGAAGTTGATGTGCTGGGTTGGCAGTACCAGTGGCCCTCTAAGAGACACTTCAGTTAGCGCATTTTCACTGCGATATAGTCCAGGCATGGCCACTTTTCTTCACTCCGTTCTCCTCCTCAAGCTGCTTCTCCTTGGGCAGAAGTGACCTCCCTAGTGTCCTAGGGCAGCCCACCATTGGCACCTGTCATATCTAAGAGGGCCACACCATTACCTCTCTGTCTCAGGCAGGGACCAAGTGTCATTCCTGTGTGTACCCCAACTCTCTGCCTGGTGGTTGGCCCACAGTGCCTGCCCGCTAAGTGTTTGCTGAGCGGCCTGACTCTTACCTGATGACTCCGTGTGTAGGATAGCCTGTGCCCCAGCTGTCTTCTTTGTCCACCTGTGTTCACTCATGTGTGTGCTCTTACAGGCATCTTATTATAGAAAACTTTATCCCTCTGGAAGAAAAAAGTAAAATTATGAATAGATCCTTCTTTGATGAAGAGGAAGATCATTGGAAATTACATCCTATAACCAGACTGGAGTAAGTCACTATTGATTTTAAGGTGGGGAGGAGGGGAAAAATGTGGGAAAGCTGGACTTGGCCCAAGGGGTATGGTAGGAATTGGGGGACTATCACAGTGAATTCATGACCTTTCCCAAGTTCCTGCATTTGCGCTTCCTCAGCTGTCAAGTGAAGCATGCTAGGCCAAAGGAGGGGCAGTACCTAGATAGATGTCATATTGTATGGCAATCTGACACAGCGTTGAGGAGGACTTCCAGTCTGTGTCTGGGGTCTGCCAAGGATGTGGGGATGGGGAATATTGACATTTGTGCTTCACGCCTGCCATCTAAGAATGGGATGATGACTCCGATCCTTTTCAATTTAAGAGCTGTATGATGTTCACATTCGAATCAGAACGCAACTCAAACAGAAAATATAAGCAGTTCCTGCCCCATTTGCAAGGCAGCCCTCAGTCCAGGGAGTTACTAGGTTCAGGTTCTAGTTAAATAGGCTCAGTGTCTTCTGAGAGCTGGTTCCACAGGACGATCCTGGGACTGCGGAACACACTCCAGCCAGGGCTTTAACCACTGCAGTCCATTTCCAGGAATCAGCAGATGATGAAGCGGCCAGTCTCAGCTGTGGGATATAAGAGACCGTTGAGCCAACACGCAAGAATGTCCATGATGATTCGTCCAGAGGCCCGATATAGGGTGAGAAGATCATCCTTGTGTTTCTCTCCTCTTTTCAAGGAGGTTAGGTTTATGTAAACCCTCAGGCACCATTCCGCAAAGTCACAGAGTTTGTATCCTGCCTCTTTCCAGAGGTTCCTGAGGACATTTATATTAACATAACAATTATAACAAATAATAAATATACTAAGTAAATAACAATAGAAAGAACAAATAATTATGAATAAGAAGGTAAAATAGAATGAGATTTAGAAAATTAGGCCTAGGGAAGGAGGAGAGCACAAACATACTGTCAGTAATGGCCAAGAAACATCAACACGAAGCCTGAAAATGGCTCTGTGTGAAGGCTGGAGGGAAGGCAGGTGTGTAATGACAGGAGATGGAGATGAATTAAAGAGCGGTCGGTACTTCCATTTAACGGAATGTGGGTCAGTCAGGTAGTTAGTTATTTATTTTTTAAAGATTTTATTTATTTGAGAGAGAGCAAGTGAGAGAGAGAGAGCGCGAGAGCACAAGAGAGGGGAGGGTCAGGGAGAAGCAGACTCCCCGCTGAGCAGAGAGCCCGATGTGGGACTCGATCCCGGGACTCCAGGATCATGACCTGAGCCGAAGGCAGTCGCTCAACCACCTGAGCCACCCAGGCGCCCAAGGTAGTTATTTAAAGTGACATAATTGAGGACTATTTAATAACCCAAACATTTTACAGCAATAATACTGTGCGGACTTCTACTCCTAAGCACTTGCTGTATGCAGGCCACGCACTCAGCCCTTTATTGCTTTCTCTAACTGATGCTCCTACCTCCTCTCTGCAGCAGGTCCTGTGGCTTAATAGGTAGCTGGTAAGTGGATGGACCAGGAGACACAATGTATTGTTAAGTTATGAAACAGTTGGTACTGGAAGTTTACGTATGAATTAAAGCTACTGTAAAATATAACAAAACGTGAACTGGTTATCTCTGGTTAATGGAAGTGCACTCGATTCAAATTGCCTTCTTTTTGCTTATCTGTATTTTATATCAGAGGGGAACCTGTGTTATTTTTTTAAACTGTTTTTGAGTCTCCCTTGGCCACCAGAGCAAAACAGATTGGGATTAATTAGTTCCTCAGGTACTGTTCTTCCTGGTGCTGAGTTGTTTAAAATAAAGGAAACAAAAGCAAAAAAGCTGCATTAGGTGGGGTTTTCTATAGCGGAAGGTGAATGATGTATCAGAGTCCTCAGAAGCATTTTCCTAGCAGTTTCAGAGGGTGCATCTCTTGCCCATTATTTCATGTCTCAAAACAAAAACATGATTTCAAAGCCTACAAATCAAAACACGTGGGTTTCCAGGGGACTAGCCTGATCCAAAGGTAGAATTTAAAGCAGTGGCTTCAGATGTTTTTAGCAATGGACCTAGTCCATGAAGAGAAACTTTAAGCAGCATCTCAATATATAACATTGATTGATGGAGCCCCTCCATCTCCCCACCTTCTCCCTGCAGTGGCCCTCCTGCCCCCTCTGGGGCTTGAACTCTACGGGGTGGGAGGAGCTGAAGGAGGAGATATGTACCATGGGTGTTCTTCCCTCTACACACTCATCTCCGTTTGTAGGAGCCAGGGAAAGGCCTACCACAGGCTATCAGGTGAAGGAATCCAGCCACAAGGCCAGTTATGAGGCAGGGCCCGGTATGATTTATAAAATGTGGTTACGAGACACACGCTGCCACATACCTTCAACATATGTACTCCCTACCTGCCTCCTTCCCTCAGCAACCAGAAGGTTCATCAGAGCTGCTGTGGGTGGTGAGAATATCAGTGATTACTGTCGTCTTCTTTATACCTTTTTGTATTTTCACATTGTCTGCAGTAAATGGGTTCTACTTATTATTTTTCCTTGCTTATTCCCCTTAGAGTATAATATATGTTCATTGTTTAAAAAAAAAATTTTTTTTTTTAAGGAAATAGAGGAAAGCCCAGAGAAGAAGATAAAAACATCTGTATCCTCACCAGGAAAAAAGTTATAAAACTATGTCACTACAGGCTCTTGGGAGGCTCTGAGTAGCAAGAAATGTGCAGTTCTGTTTTTTGGAGGGGGGCAGGTTTGCTTGTACTTTCTGTGTCTGATTAGAGGCCAGCCTCACTGGTTATGACTGTGCTCCTGCAGGCAGAGAACATCGTGCTGTTAGAGCTGGACATGCCCAGCCGGACCACCAGAGACTACGAGGGCCCCGCCATTGCTCCCAAAGTCCAGGCTGCACTGGATGCAGCTCTGCAGGATGAAGATGAGATACAGGTGGATGCGTCATCCTTTGAAAGCACGACAAATAAGAAATCGAAGGCCAGGTGAGTGGCTTTTGATGACCTGTGGTTAAACAGAACATGCTTGAACAAGGACAAATGAAGGTAGAGGTTTATCATGGAACGCTTTACAAAACACACCAGAAAATACTGCCATATTACTCCTATGTTTACTCATTTATTCCACAAATACTTATGGTTCAGGCATTATGTCAAGTCTAATGAACGCCAGAATGGCTAATGTGCCCAAGTTCCTACCGTAAGGAGCATGTGTTCTCGTGAAATAGGGGACAGTTCTTTGGTCCCTGCCAGGTACTAGGCCGTTTTAAGTGCTTTAAAAAAATTCTCTGATTTACTGCAAAAACTTATAAATGTTATCATTAATCCCATTTATAAAATCTCTAAGGTAAGAAAACTGAGTCTTAGAGAATTTGTTAGAAAGTAGCCAAGGTCAAGGAAGTAAATCCAGAGCCAGGGTTCAAACCTAGGTGTGTCTAAATCCACAATCCAGGCTCTGAGCCTCACTGATGAATTTACCTCATTTAAATAACCCATTAAATAACCAAGTACTTAATTTGGTGCTAAATTAGAAATTCTGTCCTATTAAATTTTGGATTAGAAGCTTAAGGACAGGGGTGCCTGCATGGCTCAGTCATTAAGCCTCTGCCTTCGGCTCAGGTCATGACAGGGTCCTGGGATCGAGCCCTGCATCGGGCTCCCTGCTCTGTGGGAAGCCTGCTTCTCCCTCTCCCACTCCCCCTGCTTGTGTTCCCTCTCTCACTGTGTCTCTCTCTGTTAAATAAATAAATGAAATCTTGAAAAAAAAAAAAAAGAAGCTTAAGGACAACAAATGGGTGAAAATGAAAAATGGAAGAAATTCTACCTGCAAACAGTATTTTTTTACCAATTCGGAAAAGACAGTGAAGAGCTGATATAAATGGAAGAACAGTTGCCAAGAAGCCGGTCCCTTCCCTGAGGTGTCACGCCTCGGTTGGCAGGTCATGCTGGCCATGCACAGAGGGTCAGGCTGTGCCGGTCTGGTGGTTTTACAGTTGAAGGTCTACTGACGTTCAGGCCAGTGAGGAAAGGCTGAGGGTACTTGGCGAGAAAGGAATCTGATCTGTGTTGGGGACGGAGACGGGACGTGACATGTAAACATGTGCTTGATTTTTGCAGGCCTAAAAGCGGAAGGAAGTCGGGACCCTCCTCCTCTTCCTCAGGAACCCCTGCATCTCAGCTTTATCCACAGTCTCGAGGACTGGTTCCCAAGTAAAGCCAGTTCCTCCTCTCCCAGGGTGTAAATAGCTTTTGCCTTCTGAGAGAAGAGACGAGCAAAAACCTGCAGAGAGGACTTCAAGCCCAAACTCAGAACCATGCCCTTGGGGAGAAGCTTTGGCCTCTTTGCAGATTAACCATCGTAATCTGGTTGACACGTGCTGGTGCTCATCTGGCACGCAGCAACTCTGGGAGATGTCCTTTAATTAGCATCTCAGAAATGCATGGGTAAGGTAAAGTGTGATAGTCGAAATGGAAAGCAAGAGAATGACCAGTGACCTTGCTTCCCTCCTCCCTTGCCTCTCCCTTCCCTCGCCCTCCCTCCCTCACCCCTCTCCTTTTCTAGCCTGTTCTTTGTGCTGGGCTCCTTTCTTGTTGAACAACAGGGCAGAATCAGGAGTCACCTGAGCAGGACCAAGTCTGTGGAGCCTCAGGATAAAATGACAGTGAGGTTGAAAAGTAAAAGCCCTAGAACTTGAATAGGTGCTTGTTCCTGTAGGTAGAATGAGAATTCTCATTTGGATCCAAGCCCCCGATAGGCTCCACAGGCCTTTGGGATCTGCTGAATAAGGAAATGTTTTCCAAGAATGTTGTGAAGCAATAGAAACAACATTCCCTTTGCCTCCTTGGAGAGTTTAGGGAAACAGCTTCTTTAAAAACCTTAAAACCTTGACCATCCTTGTCAATGACATAAATCTGTAAGCTGATGCCATGTCCATACACTGTGTCACTTTACTCTTCATTTGTCACCATCTTTTCCCTTGCACACGTCCTCTGAGGGTCCCTGCCTGGGCCCATCCTCTGCCCGCAGAGCATGTTCAGCCGTGGGCCTGTTTTATGGGAAAAGGGAGGTTGGCTTTGTTTTCTCTGATGGGACAAGAGTTGGGGGAATGAGACATACAGTGGCACTTTTGAATTCCCCATTTTGTTCCCGGTCTGCATCTAAGGGTGATTAGGCAGTGCAGAGACAGAGATGTGGGACTTGGGGCGGTGGGAGAGGAAGGTATAATGGATGGGAGCGGAGGGGTCCTGCCTGCCTTCCGTAGAACACTCACCTGAGGCTAGAACTGTGGCTCCCTGTGGGCAGAGCTGAAGGTGGTGGCCAGGGGTGGCTGTGTGACTGAATAAGCTCAGAGGAGAGAGTTAGGAATTCCCGTTTACGTATACTAGTTCGGTTTATAAGTTTTAGTTCTCTGTATTATTGAAATTCAAAGCTTCATTTTGTGTTGGTCATTAGGTGAATGTTACTCATTTTCCCCCCAAGAGAAGCTCATTAAGTGTGTGTGGGTGTGCAAGCACAGTGGTGCCTGTGTCCTTTGAGTTTGTCCATGTGTGTCTGTAAGAGAGAGACAAAGGACTTGCCCAGTTTTAGAAATACGCTAATGTGCAGTTGTTGCCTTTGTCTGTATTAAAGGCCCATTGGATGACTAATCCAGGCTGGAAGTGCTCCCATGTGAGTGTCTGAGTCCACGAGCCAAGCCTGAGGGGACAATAGGAGTCCTCAGGTCTGCCACACTGGTGCACCTTGCTGGCACGGTGCCTCCGGAAGGTGGCGACTCAGGTGGGCCTTGAGTTATATTTTAACTCAGCTGCTGAGTTCCCAGGGCACATTTCTGGATCAGAACCCGTGGGAAAGAGGAGGTACCAAGTGCAATGTCTTTGCATTCTACAAATGGAGATCTGGCATCTGGCAGCTTATCTCCTTTTTAGTTTCCATTCTTTCTGAAACCCAGGGCCCTTTTCAGCAATTCCCAGAGCATAATGGAGCCTTCCCTCATCTTTCTTGGGATCACACCCTGCTTCTTATTTATTAAGAATTTACCTGTTTGAATAGGAACCAAATGATGAGGTGGATAGTCTAAGATGGTTATCTGCCAGTTAGACCTTTCTCTTGCACCACATTCCCTCAAAGCTAGTCCGAATTCCATAGGCTGAAAATAATTCATCTAGTACATCTGAGAACTGAACACTGCAGATAACACTGTACCTTAATACCGATGTCTTGAGGTGGCTATTCTGAGCAAGAGTGGTTGAGTGACTGTGGAATTTTTCTAAGAGGGCAAAAGAAGAAAGCCAAGTGGGCAGGCAGGATTATTAAAGCAAGCTTGCCTTATACACAGCTGTGTTTGTCTGGCAGTCTGTGAGACCAGGTAGAGCAGCTGTGAGGAGGTGGAGCTGTCCCTCCCCAAGCAGTCTCTGGTGCTTTTCTTCTCTCAAAATGGATCCGATAAATATTTGAGTAGAGCAGACAGGAGCATGTCTCACTGCTACCAGAAAGCTGCTGCTTTGGGCTCTGAGTTGAGCCAGATGTGTAGAGGACCCACCTGGTTTTCATGTCTGTAGTTATGCTATGTTCCAAGCCATCTGAGGGTCTTCGTGCAGGAGCAGCTAGCGAAGTCTGGAAGCAAGTCTGAACAGGATCTAAGAAGATCATCTGGGAGAAGAGGTTGAGACTGTGTGTGCAACCCTCATCAAGCCCCGTTTTTCTCTGATCAATAAGAATGTATCTGGCTTCCTATTTGAAAGTCACATGTCTCCCAGATCCCTGGATTCAGAACCCAAGGCCACAAATCATAGGCATGAAGCACTTTTCTTAAGACTCTGACCTAACGTTGGATTGTTCCCCATCGAATGCCTGCATGCTGCTTGAATTGTACCACCCACACCTCCATGACCAAGGGCGTCAGAGAGTTCTGCAGTTCAGGCCTGGGCCACTCTCTGCTTTTCCTGTCTGACTCTTGTAAGGCCTCCCTCACTGAATGTAGAATTGTTGCCAAGCTTTTGAGAAGTGTCGATTCCCCACTAGTATGGGATATCAGTTCTGCCTCACATTTCCCACTTACAGTCCAGGCTCATTGCAAACAACACCTTGGGCCATCTCAACACCATCAGTGGACAAAAATGGGGCTATTAATATACTCTAAAAGCCATAATCAAAGTGCTCAGAGGGAACTGGATAAGGACAGTGGGCCTGGCTGTTGTCTACTGCACATGGTTTGGTCCAGTGCTGTTTGGAAATCTGCTCCCTTTCTCCCTGCCCTTGTTTTCTTGAATGAAATGCTTTTGAGGTTATTTATGAAAGGAGTGATCCTGGGGCAGGCAGGGGGCAGTGGGCTTTATGGCTCTTTGGAGTTACTGTTGATCTTGACCTTCTCTTTGGCTACCTTTAGACAAAGAATATGCCAATACTTGGGGCTCTAAGTTTTACAATTGATATTTATTTGTATCATCTCTTTGTCTAGGAATGTAAAAGTGATTCTAAACTAAGATGTGTAATAAAAATCAATCAGATTTATTGTACCTACAAAAAGGTGTCCTCATAAATGACTAACGCTTTTGAAAATGACATGCCCGTGGCCGACACACTGCCATTTTCTTTCAATGTTTAAATTTTTCTAGTGAAAGGGGGGTGGGAGTGGAAAATGAAGACTGAGTTGGAAGGCTGGCATTAAAAAAAAAAACAGCAACAAGGTAAAGGGACATAAAATGAAGAAAGAGTGACAAATAAGTGCTTTTCATGTTTTTCCATGGAGGTTCCTGAGGTAGGCCTGGGCAACAGGCATGGCATTTCTTTTAACTTCCGTGTTTTGCGTTCAAAATTTCTTTTAAGTTCATTCCATATTATACTTTAAAATGTGTCCTTTTTTTTTTAAACACAAAAATATGTTATTTACCATCAGGTAAAAAAAAGAAATACCAGAAACGGGCCACATGTTGCTCTCGTGGTCTCTCATGTGCTCAGGCCTATTGGACTGTACCCCCGGGAGATTGAGAAGAAGGGGCACAGACCCTGGACTCTGAGCTGGGTTTGAGTTCTGATTGTTTGCTTTCTAGCTATGTGACTGCGAGGAATTTAATTTCCCTCTCTGAACCTTGGTGTCCTTGTCTATAAAATAGGGTAGAAATCCCCACCTTACAGGGCCGTTGTGAAGATTAGCAATGCATTTAAAGCAACAGCACACAAGTATGTGGACTATAGCAGCCATTTAAAAATGTGGTTATTGTTGTGACGTGGCCCTGTGTTCAGAAGACTCCATGAATAGTTTGTATCCCAAGAAACTAGAAGCTATGACTGGGCATACCATGTTTAGAAAATCCTAGGCCTTGGGGCGCCTGGGTGGCTCAGTCGTTAAGCGTCTGCCTTCAGCTCCGGTCATGATCCCAGGGTCCTGGGATCGAGCCCCGCGTCAGGCTCCCTGCTCTGCGGGAAGCCTGCTTCTCCCTCTCCAACTCTCCCTGCTTGTGTTCCCTCTCTCGCTTTGTCTCTGTCAAATAAAATCTTTAAAAAAAAAAAAAGAAAATCCTAGGCCTTTACAGAAAAGCTGCTAACCATTTAACAAATATAGGTGAAGCACCTACTATGTGCCACACTGTTCTGGACACCCACACAGAGCTTGTCCTTTAATGAGGAGGAAGGCAGGATAAATGTTAACAGAATGCACAAAAGTGTACAATTATAAATTATGACATCCCAAATTATGACAAATGACAATTATAAATTATGACAAATTATGAAGTGATATTATAGCATATTATAGGAGACTAAGAGGGTCCTAATTGAGATTGGGTGGGTAAGTAAGGGAAGGGCTTTCTGAAGAAATGGCATTTACAGTGAGATCTAAAGAATGAGAGGTTTGGGGCGCCTGGGTGGCTCAGTTGGTTGAGCGACTGCCTTCGGCTCAGGTCATGATCCTGGAGTCCCGGGATCGAGTCCCGCATCGGGCTCCCTGCTCAGCAGGGAGTCTGCTTCTCCCTCTGACCCTCTTCCCTCTCGTGCTCTCTATCTCTCATTCTCTCTCAAATAAATAAATAAATAAATAAAATCTTTAAAAAAAAAGAAGAATGAGAGGTTTGGGGCACTGGCTGGCTCAGTCGGTAGAGCATGTGACTCTTGATCTCAGGTTTGTGAGTTCAAGCTGCACTTTGGGTGTAGAGCTCACTTAAAAAGGGGGGGGGGGCACCTGGGTGGCTTGGTTGGTTAAGTGTCTGCTTTGGCTCAGGGTGTGATCCTGAGGTCCTGAGATTGAGCCCTGCATCAGGCTCCCTGCTCAGTGGGGAGTCTGCCTCTCCCTCTGCCCCTCACCCCACTCTTGTGCTTACTCTCTCTTTCAAATAAATAAATAAAATCTTTAAAAACAAACAAACAAACAAGAAGGATGAGAGGTTAGCTGGGTAAAAGGTTGGGTGTGGGGGCGGGTGGAGTCTGTGAAGGTCTTGAAGCAGAATTTCATAGGAAGGCATCTCCGGTCCTTTTTACCCTCACTATAGGGAAGCACGGAGAACTATTAGGGAAAAAACTGCAGCATAGGACTTTAAAAAAAAAAAACAAAAAACCAACAAATTTAAAAAGCCTAGGAAGGGGCGCCTGGGTGGCTCAGTTGGTTGGGCAACTGCCTTCGGCTCGGGTCATGATCCCGGAGTCCCGGAATCGAGTCCCGCATCGGGCTCTCTGCTCGGCAGCGAGTGTGCTTCTCCCTCTGACCTTCTCCCCTCTCATGCTGTTTCTCTCTCTCTCTCAAATAAATAAATAAAATTAAAAAAAAAAAAAGCCTAGGAAGAATAGCATCCTATGTGACTTAGGCAAAGGATTCTTAATTGTGTTTCTTCATAAGATGCTCTCAAACTATGTGTAATGTTCCCATAACCCCCTTTCCTTCCAAAAAGAGTTAAAGAGCGTAGCTTGGCTTAGCCTGAATAATTATTAGTTTAGAATAATTCAAAATCCATTAGCCAGAAAGCAAGAGTTCAAAATGTGATTTGAAGAATTATGAGTGTGTTCTTGAAAGTGACAGAATTCTGGATAGGCCAGGGGCTAATTCATAAGGGAGGTATAGGGCAGGGCGGCTGGGCAACTTGGAAATTCCTGTGACCACCAAGTTGTCTTCTCATCTGCTGGGTTGTTCTTTAAAACAAAAAATCAAGAAACTACACAAGCCTTGTGTGATTCAGTAAGAAATACATGTTTGGTCTTTGTCCCTGAAGAGCTTCTACAACCCTTGGAATTTCTTGAGTGACAGAGGTTGATAGGATTTTTTGGTATTCCTGACAAACCCCTTTCAACCCTGCCTGAACCTATGCTAATAAAGTGACTCTAGGTGGGTCCCTAGATAGCTTCTGAATGGGGGCTGGTTGCCAGAGGAACCAATCTTGTGACTAGAGGTTTGGAACTTTCAGCTCCACCTGCTGACCTCCTGGGAGGAGGGAGGAACTGGATTGGGTTAATCACCAATTAGCCTCGGTAAAAGCCCCTAAATGATGGGAATTCCAAGAGCTTCCAGGTTGGTGAACACATTGAAGCGCTGGGAGGGTGGCACATCCAAAGACAGCACAGAAGCTCCACACCCCTCCCCCCCATACCTTGCACTGTGTATCTCTTCCATTTGACTGTTTCTGAGTTGCATCCTTTATAATAAATTGGTAATAGTAAACTAAAACACTCCCCTGAGTTCTGTGAGCTGTTCTAGTGATGATCGAACTTGAGGAGTGGGTCGTAGGAACCCCTAACTTATAGCCCGTTTACCGTTGGCTGGAAATACAAGTGGCAGCCTGAGACTTTAAACAGGCATCGGAAGCGAGGCAATCTCGTGGGACTGAGCCCTTAACTTGTGGAGTCTGTGCTGACTCCGGAAGGGTCAGAATTCTTGGTGTCCAGAGAATCAAAGGTTTGGTTGTTGAATGGAAGAAAAAAATATATATTTGGTTGTCAGGGTGTTGTGAATAATAACAGTTGACCTTGGAAACTGTATTTTGAACTTCACGCTAATGGCTTAAGTCTTGGGCATGTGATTTTGGCAAGCCCTCTTGTACTAGAGTTGCCATCTGATTGAAGTTTACCCTGAGAATCTGGTCTCCAAGGATCATGTGGTAGTCACATCTGTCAGCTGGGTTGTCAGTAGCATTTGTCAAGGACGTAACTGTAGCTCCTGCAGCTGCTCCTGTTTTGACCTCTGTTTCCATCACCAGAATTGTGGTTAACCATCGCCGGGTGCTTCGGTTAGATGAGCCAACTGGGGACTAGCTTTTGGAGTGGGGGAATGGGCAGAGAGAGAGGTTGCTCACTCACATCTCTAGGGGCAGTGTAGCCCTCAGGAACTTGTTGAATGCCTGTTTTGCTCCAGGTGTCTTGCTTTGCACTGGAGATGAGGAGAAGTAGAATGTTCTCATGACCATCGAGGACACAGTTCAGAGTGATTAGGACCTGTGAGAATGCCTGCCGCCTCTCCTCACACCGCTCTCCCAGCCCTTCGAAGCTGGAGCCACACAGCCCTCCTTTTGGTTCGTTGGTTGTGCCAATTGCTTTCATGCCTTGGCACCTTCACATGTGCTGTGTCCTCTTTCTGGAAACTTCTCCCTACTCTTTGGTGGGCTACCTCCTACTCATCCATCAGGTATCAGTTTAATGTCACCTCTGCCAAGAAACCATCCATTCTGGTTTCTCCCCATCTCCACCCGACTGTATGGTATCCTATCATCTTGTTTCCCTCTTAGCCCTTTTCCCAACTTACGATTATGATTGTTTTGTTTTGTTCTGTTTTGTTTGCTTTCCTCTCCCCTACCAGACTGTAAGTTCCCTGAGGGCATGTCCTATAGTGTTCTCCAAGTTTGACACTTATATATAAGAGTTGGTTGGATGGGTGCTGACATCTACAGCTAACAGTATTTTCTGGCAGAGGAAGCGGTGATGTGCCACTCCAGGAAGGAGAGGTGGAGCAAGGCTTTGCCAAGGAGACAGCATATGAGCTGTGCTCTGTGAAATGGGTAGGGTTCTACCCACCTGGGAAGGAGGAAGGAGCATGCCAGACAAAGGGAACAACATGAAGGAGCTCTTGGGGATTAGGGAACCAGAGAGTGACGGGAATGAGAGTAACTGGGCTTGGGAATGGTCTTGACTTCATGGCACAGCCTGAAGACAGAGAGTCCTTGAAGGCCTGCGTGTGTGTGTGTGTGTGTGTGTGTGTGTGTGAGAAACATGGCCCTATTTACACTTGAGCATTTTCTCCTTAAGCCAGACTCGTATGCTATTATTTTCTTTGAGATAACGGAAAGCAATTTCACTAAGTGCTGCTTTAAGTTTGCCTGCTGTTCACACAGGTTTTTCTGGGCTCGGCTGGCAAATTCCATTCTGCAGGGAGCTTTCCCTGGCACAGCTCGCTACCCAAGGAATTCCAAGAAGCACTTGAACTTGACTTCCAGGTCTTAGTTTCCTAGGAATGGGGCTGAGGCATTTTTCAGTGCAGTGGGCTGGAAGGTAGTCCCTTTGCTGCGTTTGAGAAGAGAGAAGTTAAATTGCTGTTGGTTTGGAACTTTCTC